GTCAGGAAGTCCTGGTGTCGAGCACCATCTGGGGCTCATGTCCAGATATTTATTACTGTTTGACAGTTACGGTCTTGTTTTAGTGAGGCACCCTCTCTGACGATAGGACGGGTCTGTCTTTTGTATATGCTGCTGGCCTTTTCCTATCTAATCCTAAATTTCACAACTCTCCTTAAATAGCCGCGGTACGGACCGAATAGAAAATATCTTCAGCATAGTTGCGTAACCTAGCAACTAGCACGTATATTACAACAGTGGATTCCCTATTGTTGTCATGTTCTTAAGGGGGAAGGTGTTTACCGGCCGTCACATAGAAACAGCAGTTCTTCTATTGTTGTCCGCATTCCTTGCAGCGAGACATTCCCCTATCGTCACAGAAAAGGCCCATATATCGCAGTATGTACTTAAGAGGAATGAAAACATATTTGTGGACGATAAACTTGTTAAGCCTGAATCCAGGGCGGACACGAGGCCTTAGCAGTGTGTTGCATAGAGGTGCTGTTGACAATATCGATTCCCTATACGTATATACACGGTTCAATAAAGGACCGTAGTCTTAATTTAATGGGAGCGGTGTTGAAGTTGATGAACTTGAGAATGCTATTACACAAAGTGAAAGTTTTTGCCTTATTTTCTCACACAAGTCTTAAAAGCGTTTTATAATATCACTCAATCTTACAAATTAAATTAAATTATTTTCCATTTTGCTTACTTATTTTGGCTCAGAGTATTAATTTTTTACTACTTCTGTTACATTGAAAACAGCGGAGTGTCGGTTTTTGGAAAATTAGAGTAATACATAAATGAGGATGTGTATTTCGGTTTGAAGTAAACGTAAATATACTTCTTGCGGTTTTGCTTATCCAGTTTTTTCGTAATGATTCTTCTTCTTCTGCCGATTCAGTGACTGAGTCCTGACCCATTCCGAGACAAAATGGAAGGTGGTGACCATCTTATTCTTGCACATCCAATGTCAGTCTTCCAGCATGCTGATCAAAATAGACATATGCTTGCCGAGACAGATATCCCGGAGACATCCTTTCTACATGATTATGCAGTTTCCTTTGATATTCTCGTGCTTCATCATTTGTTCGGTTCCAAATTGTTTTCTTTTGCCAGAACTTCTTATTTGAGCCACCAGTGAGTGGGTAGTCAGTGGAGGTAACCACGTTTCATGCGGTAGCGTCCCAGCCCAGTCTGGCTCCTGGAGGTAATTCATGGTTAGGGCTTGGCCCAAGGATACGCGAAATGGCAGCGTCGGTACAACGGGGAAGGAGAGGCTGTAACACTTTTGGTCCTCAGTGGCCCCAAAGGCGAATATTGAAGAGCTTAAGCAACGGAGTGATTAGAAGAAGAGGCAATCCTCTCTTTAGGATATAATACACTGAGGAGAGGAGACAGATCATACAACTCCAAAGATGGGTGCCCCTGTTAGTGACCTTACCCTGCAAGACACTTGTAATATGTTGAAGGGATATTTCGATACTTGAAAGACGAGAGATATTTATCAGACGGATGTAAAGCTTAACAATATTAATTTATTGCTGACGGCTTATATTATTTGAGATATGTTTCTTCTCCTAGTCTCTAAATGTATAAACTCAGCGTCTCGAAATTTTATGTTGTGTATATGTACTTTGATTTACTTTAACTATCTTATTTAATTTTCGTCTGGTTACTATACCACATGTCCTCAAAATTCCTACTACATATACTCACATCTTGAACTATTTATTTATGTATTAAATGACGTTAAATTTGATCACATCTTAATAAAATATTTAGAGCGCCAGGTTCAGTTACTGTTTAAATAAGCTAGTCTGTATATTCTTCAGTAAAATAAAGAAAAACAAATGCACTCCAGTTGTCCGTTCAGTTATCTTACAGATATACATGTATTATGCAAGATTTTCACACAGTCTAAGAGCCATAAATTATTTTGTTTGTATTTCGTTAACTATTCACCTACTTGTAACAAGCTTATTTTTTACGATGAGGAGTTGTTAGCCACACGCCCAACCCCCAAGCTGGAAGACAACCACTTGTCGGCTGTTCGCTACTGTTTATTCAATATATTCGCAGCTACCGTCTGTATCTGAAGGCCGTCTCCTCCATCCGTAACCTGAGGACGTGACTGTGAGAGGAGGAATGCATGTAGGGTATGGATGGGAAAGCCGGAAGAAGAGAGACCACTGGGAAGACCAAGGCGTAGGTGGGTGAACAATACTAAATTGGATCTAAGAAAGAGAGAATGGGATGGTGTGGATTGGAAATTGTAAATGTAGAGAAATAATGTCAAGTTTCATGTAACACAATCTTTTGCCAGTTTGTTTTAATCGGACACGTATGTCACTTCTCGGTTAGCTTTGGTAGATGTCAACTACACAGTATCATATTATCTGTTTCCCAGACAAATTAAGAGCGAATTCTAAACTATCGATAAATTTTCCGTGCTGTATATTGCGACCACGTGTTGATTACTGATGTGCAAAACTGTCATTATCAGAACATAGCTTTTGTTAGATTCAGTTTCAGTTAGTTAAATTTGCGTCTAATTTTACACATTAATTGGTCTGAATTATAGACCACAACTGTAGCCGGAATATGAGGGATATCACGCACACATTCGAACTAAAACTCAACCATTTTATATGAACTGTTAATTGAAACTGCAATTTATTTATACTTAATTGGAAGTATTTATTTTTACAACCAATTAACTTACAACCAAACTGTCAGAGAATATTACCAAGGAATTCAGTTTGTTAGAAAAAAATAATTGTATACTTTATTTTTTAATTATTTATTTTAATTACTCGCTTTTTGTGTTTGAAAGAATTCAGATGATTTCTGTGTGCTTTAGTTATGAATATTATTGCCGTTTCCGCTTACATATATTTTATACGTATGAAAGCCTTTGTTGGGAAAACAGAAGAGAGGAAACCATTTGGAAGACCTATCTGCAGCCAGGCGAATAATAAAATAAATAGATCTTAAATAATATATGGTATGCGAGGATGTGAACTTGAACCTGGCTAAGATAAGATCCAGTGACAGGGCCTAGGAAACGGGAATTGGGTTACATAAATGAAAGGAATCTCTTGACTCACTAATCTAATATTAGCTTCTCAAGTAGGGCTCTACTCCGCAGAGTCAGTCATCTGCAGTTTTCTTCCCCGTTTCGGAGCAGCCAGCGTCAATATTTGAAGTAGAATTTTGTTAGTTGGATCCTTGTATTCCCTTCATTTAATTTGAATGTATTTTCGAATTGTGGGGTTTGTGAACCTTTCTCATCAGTTTGAAATGTTTACATAGTAATGGGTTTGAAGTTCTCATTTTATTTTCCCCTTGGCACTACAGCCCCAGTGGGCCTAGGCCTACCTCCATGAACTTCTCCGTTCACTTCGGTTTTTCTAAATCTTACACATTCGGTAGGACTCCTTGGGCGGGTGATCAGCTCGTCGTAAGGCCTCTACCTGTACACAAACACAGAAAACGCACACACACAAACTAAACATCCATGCCCTGAGTGGGATTCGAACCCACGATCCAGGTTTCCAAGCGTGCGAAGACAATACATGCCTTAGACCGCTGGGCTACCGTGACCGGCTTGAAGTTCTCATAGCTACAGTTATTCTACAAAACCCGCTGCTTTCATTCTGATCAATACAACTCCGTAATCGGAGAATCCGACTGGAATCTGTTACTGTCATATATAAATTGTTTGATATATACTTGTATATATTGTGTAAAGCACTTTGTATTGTTGTGTACCTGAAGATCGGTTTATCGTTTATCTAATTTAATTGTCTTCCAAAAGTAATGATGTTATTAGTGTCTGCAATGACAAGCTGAGTGTGTGTCCGTAGAATTGACCGCTAGCATCACATAATCGAAACGTTCCCTCATTTTAAATACGTAATTTTTTTTGCGTCCTGAAATAATACAAATGAACACTGCCTCTTCGTCTTGTGAGGCATCAGGGTCTCCCAGTTTTGTGTATGCTGATAGTGCGTGTACACTAACTAGGCTCTAACCTTGTGGGGAAATTGCTTTTCCAATTCTTGACAGCAGGTGTGTAAATGTATGTAAACACAAATTACAATCTTAGTAGTTCTACGAGCCCGACAAAATCAATTTTCATGTGTGCTTAAATTATTAATGATATGAAATCATATGACACAACTTCTTGCATGACCTTCTAAAGAGGCAACGTGATCTGAATTGTATTAGACCCCAGATAACCGGCCCCTAGCGTCTAAAACTTTTCATACAGAATGAAGCGGGATAAACAGACGCTCGGAAAAGTTGACATTTAACGGCTCAGTTTAACTTTCCGGAAGAGTAACGCTTTTGCTGAACTGAAATAGCTCAGTCAGTGAATACAGACTGGATAGTCTGGGCTCTATTTACGATAGGATTTAGGACATTTCTGTTTGTCATCATGCCCCGAAGCTCTTTCAGTTTTGTTCAGCCTCCTATCAATTTACCTCCATCTTGGAATGCAGGAAAAATGGCGGGTTGGTGAATGGGTTAGCAAATATTGTCACGTTGTGGACATCAACTGTCTTTACTCATGCTACGGGCTTTGTATCAAGGATTTCTGATACTAATATATTTTTAGGGTAACAGTAATAATTTTATATGTTTGTTTTGTGTCAGAAATATTTTAATATTTCTAAAACTGAAAGACTTAAAATTCGAGGTTATATTTGGCACAGATAAGCTGGAGAACTAATGTTATGGTGTTTACTTACATCAAACTCTAGATGCAGAATTGCGGACTCTACGTTGTAGCTAAACTACAAGAAGGCAATTTTGATGCATACAGTTGCAGTGAAACCCCAGCTGTAGATCTGACAATATCACAACTTTGTAGCTGTATCTCTCTTGGAGTGATAGGTTGTCACTCACCTGTACTCTTGTTTGGATCATGTAATAGTTTGTGTGTGGGACGTCATCTCCACAGCTCCCTGTAAGCTTTCTTGACGTCAACGTACCTGAGAGCGCTATGGCCACCTTCTCAACCCCTCCGAGCGGCTCCAGTGCGTCTCTAGCCTTACTGCCGAAAAGTTTTTCCAAGTAGTTGGGTCCGTGGCTTGCCAGGAGGGACTGCAGGAAACTTGCCGTCTCTTCTACAGGTGGACGTTTCGCTACGGATGCAAACACAGCAGCATTACCCATCATCCACTCAGACCAGTATTATAAACAGTATTTGAGTAATTTCAGTTACAGAGTTTGTAGAATGTTGCTATGGTAGAAATATCATGAGTGGCAAGTAGAAAGGATATGGAGGGAAGTGCATATGGATCATTTCCAAGTACGAGTGTTATCCTGATATTCAGCGGGACAGAACGTGAAGAAGTAAAGGAAAACCTGTACAGTAGTAGAGGCCTACATCTGCATACAGGCCATTTGCGCGGTTATTTATAATAGAAATATGCTCCTTGCTTTCTAGTTCACAAATTTTACGTTGAATGATACATTGTTTTGGATTGTAACGCATTGTAGTTCGGAGAGTACCCGATATTTGAGAGAAACGTCGCCTCCATTTCTATAGCCAAATACAAAGTTTTACTGGTTTATTGCACTGAAGGTGGAAGAAATATGTTCCTCCGAAACTTCGGGCTATCTTCAGACTACATGGCATTACAGCCCAGAAAACCTACTCTTCATGGTCACTGTTGTATGAAATTAAAGTAAAAAAATTTTACGTTATTATTTAATGAATTCAGATTGTCCACTATAGAAGAGTCCTTGCCCTATTTTTATAGCAGGCGGACATTTACGAATCCGGCTTGCTCTGGCCAAAGTTACAAATTTAGCAGTGTTAATATATGGAGGAAATACAGAAGAATTAACATCAGTTTAATTGATTTCACTTACACGTACTTTCCCGTTTATTGTTCCGTCATTATCAACATCCAATTAACTAGCTTGTCGACTCGCATAAGCCATTGGCATAGCAGTCTGTGTACACAGAATTCAAATAGCTCTAAAAAGAATGTGCCACATGATGGAAATTCATACGGTAGGTCTAACCTGAAGCACAAAATAATAATTACATATTGTCGCGTGTTTGCTAAGCTGCTATCGAAACACTGCTTCAACAATTCGTGTGTAGCGTTGGAAATAGTGGATACTAACGGATTCTAGTGAATTCAAGGCGTCGAAAATTGTAGAAAATTTCTCTACTAGTTTATGGTCAGTTAGCTTATTAACACGGTTTCTGATCCATGGGTTTTCTCTGTTTGTTTGTTGGTTGGTTGGTTGGTTGAACTCTGTTAGGGTGATGCTCGCGCAACGTGATGAATATACACGATCTGCATTTCTGTGACTGATTTTCTGAAGTCTGAACATTGATTAGCATTCTTATGGGTTCATTCTTTTTAAGTTAAATGAATTAAAGCCATCTGTTAATTACTATCTCAGCGCGCCGTCACGCAAGGCAGCACCGACACACCCAACACCGACAATTTGTTCGTTTCCCAACAAAGATGTGTTATAGTTTGGGCACCTGCATACAAGCGCACATAACTAGTTTGTCATCATATCCATTCGCTGGTAGATGATGGGTTTTAGTTCCCAGTAATCCCCATACGAATTTAAGCAGCAACTTAAAATATTGTCACACGTTAAGTGACTAGAGACGGGTTTTGGATTGATAAGTTGACTTATTGCACACATATACATCTCGTAACTACAGTCCACAGATCACTATCACACACAGACCAGTTTTCTCAGTCACTTTGCTTGGTAACGGCTTCCAACGGCAGACGTTCCCTGTTTCCGGGCTAACTTCTTCGCAGTTTGGCGACTATCTCTCACAAACCTCATTCTGACTATTGGCTTCAGCGGGTACTTCCCTCAACTGATAGCTCCAGGGATGGACTGACTGCCAACTGCCAACTTCCAACTTCAACTATCAATACTCGACTAGCTTCCAACTTCCAGTATATTTCACAACTCCAGATTGATTTCTTATACAGCTTCGGCACGGATAGCATAGAAAATACCACTTCCAACAGTTACTTCGTTGTTTTTTCCGTACGTTTCTTAGCGATGGCTCTGGTATTGTTCCGTGTTACACAGCCGTTGCCTAACAGTGGCTGTTTCTCTGGCTTCACATTTACCACCTTTAGCAAATATGTCACAATATTTTAGCATACATTTTGACAAGAGAAGTATTTAATTTTATGCTTAATCATATTCATTATCTGCTTTAACAGTCCGCAAGTTTCCTGATGTTATTAAAATGAAGTATTTCCATCTGGACATAATGTAAATTTTTGTACAGCTTTCTGTATTTCGGCGAGTTCATTTCAAATGTTAGTTCGTCAGTGCCGATTATTTGGTTGTCCCTGTAACGCCGATAAATCCACTGCTTAACAGACGTCACTGTCCATGACAGTTCAGAACCCTTGCCCAGTCTCCTCCTAAAGTCTCCACACCTTGCTGAAAGCTATTTTGGCTCATACAGCTGTCGTCATATTAAGCTGCCATTCTTCAGTAAATTTTATTAGCCCTTTGACCCTCTGGCCCAGAAGCTAGCTCATTATAATTGTTCTTCTTTGATGTATTAGTCAGTGGAGCAGCCATGTTAATTGTGTCGATACTCAATAAGAAATTAAAACTGTTGCATGTGGTTTATATCCATCGTCTTTGTAATGCTCTTAGTACGATTTCTGAGACAAATTGATATGTCCTTATATTGCTTAATTGATGTTAACATTGCCTTCTCTGTCAGCCATTTGTTAGTTTGTTAGTAACCGCATGGAAAGTGAGCTTCACAGCACTGTGTCACCACACGCGCGCACTAGATTAATGGAAACTTGTGAAACACGTGTCAGTGTATCCCGCGCTATAATGTCACTACATCGATTTGTCAGACGAAACCTGTTTGACAGGACTTTATAGTACAGTCTCGACCGAGGCCTAGGCAGAACCAAGGAATGAAATGTTATCTGAATTTAATATTTCTATATTCACGACCTGCTTTGAAATTGATTTATTTAGTAGTATTATTTAGTACAATTTGAGACCTTTTATCCTGACACTGGAAAGTCTCACATAATATTCATGTCATGCATAACAAGCAAGCAGGACGTGTATTCAGAAAGAACTACACGCTTCGTCAGAATTTAGGTCCGTCTGTAGAAATAGTGAGATGTTCGTAGTGTCAGGACTTTTGAGAAATAGTAAATTGTAAGCTTGTTCAACACTTGATGCTTACAAATATTCATTACTTATAATTTAATCATAATTTGAGCAGATTTCCTTTAGTCCTACTATGAAGAACATAAAATGGAGGAAAATATTTAATTCGCAGATTTTCTTTTTAATCGATGCTTCTAGAAGGATGACAAATACAGGATGTCCCAGGAGGAATCTGCCAAACTTCGGGAGGGTGTTCCTTATGTTAAAGTATGCCGATATAACCCAAAACACCTATGTCCAAAGTTGAACGGTTACGGAGATAATGGCCAGAGAAGTGTGAAATTTTGACCGGTGTTACATACTTGTTGATTACAAAATATGGAATATGGCAGGAATATGTGGTTTCTGTATTGTTAATAATGTACGTAACATCAAACTAACTTGTGAGTGACGTGAAGCCATAAAATTGAAGTACAAAATACTCGCTCGCCATGTCATAATTGTCCTTAGATTTCCAAGCACTATACATGACACATGACTGGTAAGCGCTGACGTAACATGGCTGGCTGTGCATAGTGGTATAAACAGACTACATAACTGTATTAAACGCACATTCACGGAAAATCTCTTTTGGAATTTCGTTTCCATTATCTCATGTGGATTATTATGGGACCACATTATTTACACCGTCCAAGGTAAAAGACGCCTCATCACTGAATAAAATGACGCTTAACAGTTCGGGATGAGCTTTTATCCAGTGGCACAAATCCATACGCTGTGCATGGTCGCCTGGTTCCAGATGTTGTACCCTTTGATCATGGTAAGCATACAACTCTTCATCATGTAAAGTTCGCCACACCTGCATACGTGATCGCCGATGCGACAAGCCATTCTACGAGTGGACAGACGCGGACTTCTCTGAACCATCTCAAGAACGCTCTCTCGTGTGTTTATCATTCGTACATCCTCCCTTTCAGAGTGCACAGAAACACTCGGAAGAGAACCAGTATCACGCAATGTCTGGTGGATTCGCGTAAATACACTTCGACATGTAATCCTTCGATCGGGAAAACGCCTTTGTTATTCTTCAACAGCAGCACGTGCATTGCCACCGTAAAATCCACACACAAAATGCATATCACAATATTCCACGTGTGAAAACACAAAAGGCATTTCAGCAATTCCGCACAATTAATCTACCACCCATTCACGACCCGGCCGCAACGTATACTGATGGGAGCTTACGGCTAGTGTGAATCACCACACTCAAGGACAAACAAAGATAAAGCGTCTCAGCTGAGAGGTATAGTGCGTGGGCCAGCCAGAAGACCACACTTTTCTCGGGCCATTATCTCCGTAACCGTTCAACTTTGGATATAGGTGTACTGGGTTATATCGGCATACTTTAACATAAGGAACACCCTCCCGAAGTTTGGCACATTCCTCCTGGGACACCCTGTATACTTGTATGTGCGATAGAAAGAACGTGTACAATTTGCGAGCTTAAATTATGAATATTTAGAACATTGTAAATGGCTTTGAAGGTAATTAACAATAATAAACCAACAATAAACCTGATGTTGCAGGACAAGCAAAAACGAGTACTTACCAAACGAGACCGTGGGATAAGCGGGAATATGATATGCTCAAACTTTGCCAGGGTGATACGCCAGCTTCTACCAAGATGTGCAGTTTAAAAATAAATGGTGCACTTTCAGTGTACTCAGTGGCAGAACGTGAAAGCATGCAGATACACGTACATGTGTCATTTCCCAGCACAGGTCATAAATGCTTGGTAAATTATACGTATGCTACCTCGAAACCAATAATTAGATGTGTAGAGAGCATAGCCAATTGTAAAAGTCACTCGGTAAACTAGTTGGGTATTTGAAGAGAGTCGTCTTCTGGGTTTAGGCACCGTGTATTCTTCGTGTTGGCCGANATTTGTTCATCACTAATGATGGTCACACTGGTTATTCTTAGGGTTCATCATGGC